GAGCCTGGGTGATGTCACCAGCCAGCTCTGAGCGAGCCTGGGTGATGTCACCAGCCAGCTCTGAGCGAGCCTGGCACAAGGCTCATAAAGCTCCTTCTGCACTTCAAGTGTCCGAGTTAGCACTTTTGGCATTTGACCCGCCCATGAGCCCTGAAACTGTTTGTTCTTGACCTGTCCTGGGCTTACTACTTTGGATTAAGAGCCATTGGGCATGACATATTTGAAAATATCTCCTGCTTTTCATTGCTGGTTTAACAATAAACCAAAGTCCGAAACTACACAACAGGAAAATGCATTTTTGAAACTGTTCTCTCGAAAAGCATGTTGAACATGAGGAGGGACACATTACTTTTTTTGGGGGGATGCTGGTGGATTCAAAGAAATTCTATTAGGTTCAGGCTTTTCCTCTTGAGATGGCGGTAGATGTCCCTCCCCCCTCTTAAGCCATGCTAAATCTATTTTCCAGGTTGTCAGGTTGGTGTAGCACTCAGATGTTCATGTGGGCCTGCCATTTGAACTCTGATGTTTCTAATCACAACAACGCCTCCAAACAGCTGGTCTGCATTAAGCTCTCGTTCGGACCTTTCACCCTGTTCCTCTAAAATTCATTCTGTAAAAACAGCTTAATGAGGGGTTTACTAGCCCAATTGGAAGTTTTATTAAAACCTATTAGTGGGCTTTGGGAGAAGGTAGTGACGATGGAGGTAGGGGGAGGAACAGGGGATGTAGGGAGTTGGGTATTTTGACTAAAGGAAACAATTAGTACAAATGACTTTGAGTTTAGCTGGCCCTGAGCCATGTCATTTAAAAATAAAGTATTTCCAGATTCTATTGTGTTTTCACCCTGACACGTAGTTGTCCTGTTAGTAAGTATTTTTGCCTGCCTGAGCTCAGCAAGGCTATTGTTCTGCTGTGGTAGAAATGTTAAGAAAGAGGGGTGCCCATGTGCCATGCCTGGTAGCTTGTAGATTTAAAGAGCGTGCTCGATCTCTGTTCCCGAAGGGTCAGGGAGAATAGACAAGAATGAAGACCGACATTAATTACAGGCAGTTTGCAAACCTGCCAAAGCATCAGCTTTGTGGGTTGACCCTGGAAAAGAAAGGCTGCAGTCATTTCAGTTGTCAGTGGACGAGATGGATTGGTTTGAACACAAATGGAGCATCATACCTGCCAGGTTTCTCAGTCCGAGATCGGGAAGAAGAAGTTGGATCCACCTGCAAAGTCTGAAATATCTGTGTCCGTGTCCTGCAACAGGTGTACAACCCTTTTGGGTCATGTTGTGTCTTTGGCTTGTTTTTCATTGTGACACGATTCTGTGTAAAGTAATGAAATGGAGAAGCAGAATTTCTTGCTTTGCCTTATGATTTAGTTTTAAAGAAAGCACCACAGGCCTGAATGGGAGTGTACAGTCTTCCTTTCAGCGGGACGTTCCTGTGCTGTAATCCTGCAGATACGCTCTGTGGTTTTTGTCTGTGTGGCCCTTCGGAAGCGTGCCTTCAAACAGCTGCTGGCTGTGTAGCAAATGTATATGTCACATGTCCTCACTCAAGGGTCCTCCTCTGCACTGATTCTCACATCCTTTCTTCGAACTCTGCCCTCACAAAAAATCCCCTTCGTACCGAGGGAAAGCTTGCTAGCCTTATCGATGTTAACTAAAAATAACTTTAATTGCCATATGCCGAGATATCTTTTTTTTTTTCAGCTGATTTTATATCAAATTAAGCTCTGGGACTCAATGTTCAAGATGAAACTGGTCACAATATGTTCACAAGAGGAAGTCAAAGACAAGTTCTGTTCTGGATCGGATATTGTATTGCAGACAACCAGGCTTGTAGCTGCCAAAACATCTTTAGCAAAGAAACTCGGTGAACTGTCCGGGGGTGCTAGATCAGTGGCCTTTAATATCCCTTTTATAGGTTCTGGCGAAGTAGAAGAGAGATATTAGGATATAGGCACTGAAGGTATGTATTGTAAGTGAAGGATCAAAGGCAAAGTGCTTTGTAAATATAAAACAGTTACTTAATGGAGATGTTTCATATAACAGCGCTAGACAGTTCAATGATTTCTTCATCTAGGTAAAGTAAGACTTATCCAAACTATTGTTTAGATGCATTTTTGTAGGTAATGTGCTGGAAAGGAAGCTGCCTGTTTTAGATGCTAGTAGGAGAAAAGGTAAACTAGGCCATTAATGTATTTCAGTGTGAACCCAATTGATCAGAGAAGCCTGTTAATTTTAGTAGTAAGTGCAGTTAGAAATTAGACATTTGATAAATGATGGACCTGCCACATATGCCCAAAAAATGTTGTTCAGCTTCAAACTGAAACCATGACTCGAGGATGCAAGTAGAGTTAAGTAGAAATCTGTTCAGTATGAATATTAGGAGGCACTTTAGATGTAGAGATGAATCATAGAGAATTGCAGAGACTTTTCAACAAATGGTTTAATAGCCTGTTGAATCATCATTATAATGACAATTGAGTGAATTAAAGTGTTTCTTATGGTCTAATTTTAAAAGATTGTAGTGGGAAGCTTAGCAAAGAGGAACCACAGTTAAAAGTAAATATTAATGCTAGCAATGTTAATGAATAATGTGCTAAGGTTATGTTGCTGCTGAGATTTCTGTAGTTATTGGTGTTCCAGAAACTTAGCAAAACTGTGAAATATAGGTGAATGATAGAGGAAGCAATGTAAATTACTAAGAAAAAAATAAAATGACACCAAAGGAAGATGTAGCAACTTATTAAAAATGTATAATTTATAAATAATTAAGTAAATTCAGACAGGCCAACACATTGTAAATGCAGGAACTGCATGAACTGAATTTTGTACAGTTACAGAAATCTGTGTGTTCTCATTAGGAATAACGGGGGGACAGTGCTGCTTTTGGTAATGTATTTGTATGAACATGATGTTTCCTATAATCTCACAGGAAGTTTCTTTTTTATCAGTTTAGTATTACACTCTCAAGAGGAAGCACAGTTGAAGGAGCT